AGCAAGAAATACTGTTGACCCACAAGCATCAAGACATTACATATATTAGAAACCAACACTTTCTCATTACTTTATTTTCCAGATCACCAGACTGGGCCACAGCAACGCGTGGCAGGGGACCGCTGGTACTATATGTTCTTTGACCAGAAGCTGGCCACTTGGAGTGCCTCTGGTGTCACTGTGAAAAGGTCCTCCACTGTGCATGTGGCAGGGCTCAGGCTGCATTGTATGTGGTGGTCTGTGCTTTGCTCTTCACACTCACATGTCATTGACCCCCTCTTTCTGAAGATTGACTCTGCATCTCATGATGCCAGAGCACAATCTGCTCAGTGCCTTCCAAGTCGCCAAGTCTTCTGTGTGTCCAGGAGGGAGTCTCTGGTCTCAGCCACTGATTAAGGTTCCGGGTTTTAGCCTGCCACTTTTGGATTCTTGCTTGCTGAGGTGTTCCTGCAAGTATCTCTGTAGATCTTAGAAAGTGGTTTCTTGATTTCAGGCATTGACTGATATCCAAACAGAGGGTGGGCTGGAGATGTCTCTGCTTTGGTCCTTTCATTGCTGGCTGCTATCTCCCAGCAGATGTCAGGTACAATACCAGCTAAGCAGTGTAATTTCTCCAATGGTGTAGGGCACAGACATCCTGTGATAATGCGGCATGTCTCATTAAGAGCCACATCCACTGTTTTAACGTGGTGAGATGTGTTCCACACTGGGCATGCATATTCAAAAGCAGAGTAGCCAAGAGCAAGAGCAGATGTCTTCACTGTGTCTGTTTGTGATCCCCAGGTTGTGCCCATCAGCTGTGATGATGCCACATGTCTCATTAAAAACCACATCCACTGTTTTAACGTGGTGAGATGTGTTCCACACTGGGCATGAATATTCAAAAGCAGAGTAGCCAAGAGCAAGAGCAGATGTCTTCACTGTGTCTGGTTGTGATCCCCAGGTTGTGCCCATCAGCTGTGATGATGCACATGTCTCATTAAGAGCCACATCCACTGTTTTAACGTGGTGAGATGTGTTCCACACTGGGCATGCATATTCAGAAGCAGAGTAGCCAAGAGCAAGAGCAGATGGCTTCACTGTGTCTGGTTGTGATCCTCAGGTTGTGCCCATCAGTTGTGATAATGCCACATGTCTCATTAAGAGCCACATCCACTGTTTTAATGTGGTGAAATGTGCTCCACACTGAGCATGTGTATTCAGCAGCAGAGTAGCCAAGCACAAAAGCAGATGTCTTCACTGTGTCTGGTTGTGATCCCCAGGTTGTGCCCATTAGCTTTCCTATGATATTATTTCTAGCACCCACTTTTTGCTTGATAGTCAAGCAGTGCTTCTTATATGTCAATAAAGGCTGTTGTTGTTGTTGTGGTTGTTGTTGTTGTTGTTGTTGTTGTTGTTGTTGTCTGCCTTCCACTCCTTACCACTCAGATGGCCCAAACCTTCTCTCAGGGCTATTTCATTTGTTATAAGTCAAGCTTTGTGGGCTATAACTCTAAGAACATCACTACATTTTGAAATGTTCTGTGTTTATCTCACATTTAAGCATGTTAGATCTATATGTGATATGTAATTGACCCTATGTTGCATTTTTTTAAAAAAAATTCACAACATTTGTTTTCAATGCAAATGGCTCATGGCCCAAGGAGTAATGCATGAAACATGGCCTTGGTTTCTGTTCCCTCTCCTCGATTCAAAACCTCCTTCCCAGGTGAGCTTCAAGATTCTCCAGCACATCCCCTCCTTTTCTCAGAATGAGTGAGTTGGGACCAGGCTTTGCTTTTGCAATCCCTTCTTCTCCCTTTCACCAACCCCTGCAGCTTCCTACACAACTGCACTGCATTCCCAAAAGGGATATCTTTTGCTGCTATCCAAGAACACTATGTCCCCGTTGTTCCTTAGACGTGGGATTCAACTCCATGGAGGTGGAAAACCACTCTTGATTTGAGCACTTTTTCTCCCTACGGCAGCTTAGAGCTGAAGAGGAGTTCTCTCAGTTGTGGAGCCCATCCCTTCAGAGATGCCATACAACTTAGATTAATAGAACTATGCAACAAAATTTGGAAAATGTCCCGTTCCTAGCTTGAAAGTGTTATTTCCAGTTTAATTGTGTAGCCCTTACTTTGAAAGTACTTGTGGTACTCTGGAAACTTCATTTTTGTGGATGCCACAAATTAGGTTGAATGGGTTGAGACTCAATGAGACATTCATTGAAAAACTAGAGCAAAATGTGCTGCAGGATGTCCATCCTGCAAAGACAAAGATTTTGCAGTTTAACGAAGTTTTAGCATGTTTTTATGATGGAACTAATTAGTAAATTACCCAGGAACTAAAATAATGTTACAATGTTACAATGTATTGAGCTGAAAATATTCACTAAAGCAGTGTTTCACAACCTTCCTAATGCCTCAACCCCTTAATCCAATTCTTCATGTTGTGGTGACCCCTAACCATAACATTATTTTTGTTGCTACTTCATAACTATAATTTTAATCCTGTTATGAATCATAATGTAAATATCTGATATGCAGGACGTATTTTCATTCACTGGCCCAAATTAGGCACAAATACCCAATACACCCAAATTTGAATACTGGTGGGGTTGGGGGGGGTTGATTTTGTCATTTGGGAGTTGTAGTTGCTGGGATTTATTGTTAAGCTACAATCAAAGAGCATTCTGAACTCCCTCAACAATGGAATTGAAGTAATCCTGGCATATCAAACTCCCATGACCAACAGAAAATAGTGAAAGAGTTTGGTGGGCATTGACCTTGAGTTTTGGAGTTGTTGTTCACCTACATCCAGAGAGCACTGTGGAGTCAAACAATGATGGATATGGACCAAACTTGGCATGAATCCTCAATATGCCCAAATGTGGACACTGGTGGATTTTGGGGAAAATAGACCTTGACATTTGGGAGTTGTAGTTGCTGGGATTTGTGGTTCACCTACAATCAGAGAACCCCACCAAAGATAGAACTGGGTCAAACTTCCCACACAGAACCCCCATGACCAACCGAAAATACTGTGTTTTCTGATGGTTTTTGGCAATCCTTCTGACACCACTCTTGTGACCCCCCAGGGGTCCCGATCCCCAGGTTGTGAAACACTGTGCTATAGGAAACAAAAGCAAGTGCAGCATGGGGTGTTCACCAGTAATCCAGAGTTAAGCATTTTTTTAAAAAACATAAGGATCTAGGAAACCAGCCCTAGAAATTTGAAAAAAAATGCCAACCAAAATGGACGCAAGCAATATCTACATGGACACCTCAGGGGAGTCTACGGAGAGGAACTCGAGTTTGTGGAAGAAAACAAGAAGCAAAGGTTATAATAAAATCAAAGATATGTACGATATGAATGGCCAGTTAGATAAAATGATGGAGACAAAAGGTGATAAAAACTGGAAAAAATTATTGGGCCTATATAACAAATTAAACAAGGAAAATACAAAGGAAAAATACAGAAAAGGATGAATTGAGAGAAATCCTTAAAAGAATGGAAACATTTTAAAATGGTAGTGTAGTGGAAGGAACAACAAGAGAATAAAGAAGCTAAGGAAGAAGACAAGTCTGAAGCTGAACTGATGGTATTATCGTAGCCAAAGAAAGAAACGTGCAGAAACCGTGACAAGAAAAATATCTCAACATTCCAACATACGGATCCAAACTCTCAGTCCTTGATCCCCTCCCTTTGTACGAGACACCTGTCAAAGTTTCTGATCAATACTGGAAGGAGAAGCCAGACTGCCCACACAGTCAATAAGCTCCAGCATTGTCTTTAGACGAAAGCTGCCTTTGCTCGCTTGTTCAAAGCGCATTAACAAGCTCCGTTCCATTATGTCAGTAACAGATACATCATCTTTGCATTGCATAACTCTCTGATGTTTACTTGCGAGGCAACGCTAGACATTTTGTTCTAGCACAAGTTCACGGAGCCACCAAAGCAGCCATTTGGCAATTCAGAAGAAATCAAACACATTAGGGTAGGGAAAATCTCAAACCTTCCAGCAGATAAGTTGTCCTATTAACTATCCAAGGTGCCCAGTGATTTTCCCCACTTTGCCGTAAAACGAGAACATATCGGCAGGTGGTTTCCATGGCATCAGAAATGTCTAAGAGTCCGAGTGCCAAACTAATTTAAAGACAGGTTCAAGATCGTCCACGGTTCCTTTAAAGTCCAAACTAAAGCCTGGAGTAAACTCGCCACTTCACAGACATGGGAGTCACCAACTGCCCCTCAAATAGATGCGTGCAACATCAGAAAAGACATCAAGGCTTCAAAACAGCTCCTCTGCAACCAAGATAACTTCAATAGGACGGCTTTTTGGCATTAGTCCCTTCAATCCTAGAGTCCGCTTTGATATGAGACACCTTCATTTGCTGTACAAATAGAGTAAAAACCCACAAAATACTCTGAAAGCAGGAAGAGTTTGCTTTGGTTGATCTGTAATAGGGGCCGAGATATTAGCCAGAAAGTGTTTGTAACACTCGCGCAACCACCAACAGCAACAGCTTCCCTGCCTCTGAGAAAAGAATTACATTTTATCCGTGTGGAAAGCTACAAGTAGCCAGGAAATGCAATAATAACAAAAAAAAAAACCTGCCAAAGCTCACCCATGAATGGAAATCCCTGGATTGTGAGCAATACATGGCTAATGATGCATTTGTGACATTTTAAAAACTTGACGGTGCAGAAAAGCACGAAGGATCAAAATAGAAAAGTGAACAGAGTCTATATTTTACTGAAACAGTTCCAATCTCAAAATAGATCTCATTTTTGATCAGACACATCCAACTATCCACCGGAGATGGCTTCATTCCATCACAAGATCACGAGGTCCCTCCTTTTGCTTCAGGATATGGACCATCAGCATTGGCAGTGTTGGAGAAACAGGAAATTGTTTCCAGGTAGATGAAACATACATTTGATGTAACGTCCTTAGGGTCTGAAAACAGTGGATTATGTCAAGGTTGCAGAACAGAAATTCTGGTTTTAAAACTCACCACTGGAACAATCTGGACCTCCCCATCCTGGTTCGCAGTGACACGTGTCGGGAGAAACGCACCTTCCGTGGACACATTCTTCAGTGCAGAGAGCTGCAAAAAGAAAATGGCTGTCAGCAACATTTTTTGTATATTGTAATTTTGATATTGTTATGTATTCATATGTTTTATGTAACTATGTTGTTATTGTTTACTGTTTGAGTTTTCGGTTGTGTTTTGGTTTTTCTTTATTGTAATTGTCATTTGGGCTTGGCCTCATGTAAGCCGCTCCGAGTCTCCATAAGGGAGATGGTGGCGGGGTATAAATAAAAATTATTATTATTATTATTATTATTATTATTATTATTATTATTATCTGCCATGCAACGACCACTATCAGCATCATAGTATTATTTAGAGCACACTTCACTAGTAATGTGAAAAGTGGACCAAGTTGGCTGAGAGAAATGATATGAAGGCTATCTCCGAGTTACAAACATCTGACTTACAAACAACACCTAGTTAAGAATGGGAGTGAGACAACAAGAATTGAGAGAAATCTACTTCTAAGAAGGGATATCCACTCCTGGAAGAGTTATTATCATGGGGGAAAGTGGTTCCCATTGATGCTTTATCTCCAAGCCTTGTTTCCAAAACAAGCCACTTTTTCCAAAATCCAATAGTCACAGGGGCAGAAAGTAAAGTGAAATCTTCTGAACAAGGACACAGACAACAAAGCAAACCCCATAGGGGTGTTAAGCCTTCCCTATGCAATCCAAAGCTTGTGTGTGTATGTGTGTGTTTGTATGCAGCTGGAATTCCACTTAAAAATGTACCTCTTTTAACTTAGAAATAAATTCAGCTTAAGAACAAAACTATATAAATGGTAATAATAATAATAATAATAATAATAATAATAATAATAATAATAATAATACAATTGTATTTATTTGCTATTTTTCCCCATAATGGGTACCCAATGCAGCTTCCAACATGTTAAAAGCACAATACAAAGTTAAACAACATTCAAATGTTTGAATATAAAACATTGTAAGAAATCAGGTAAAACATAAATAGACATATAACGTGGTATACATTATTGCACTGTTCTGTCAGATCTTATTGCACTTAGCACTGTCCAGTGAAGGTATGTATGTATGTGTGTGTGTGTGTGTGTGTGTGTGTACACACACACACACACACACATATACATATACATATATATATTAGAAGTCCCCGGTGGCACAATGGGTTAAACCCTTATGCCGGCAGGACTGAGGACCGACAAGTTGGAAGTTTGAATCCGGGGAGAGCACGGATGAGCTCCCTCTGTCAGCTCCATCTCCCCATGCAGGGACATGAGAGAAGCCTCCCATAAGGATGGTAAAGCATTTAAACATCCAGGCATCACCTGGGCAACGTCCTTGAAGACGGCCAATTCTCTCACACCAGAAGCGACTTGCATTTTCTTGTCACTCCTGACACAGAATAATAATAATAATAATAATAATAATAATACTATGCTGATGCTCTACTACAACCCCCACCCCTTTTCCCATGTTCTTCAACAAAACATTATTAAATAATAATAATAAAATACAATGCTGATACTTTTTTGATATAAAAAGCAGGACATAAATAAACATAATCATAATAAAATAATAATAAATACATATAATAATAACAACAGCAATAATTGTGTGCTGATGCTTTTAGGTTAAGCTTCTTTGAGTGCCCTTCGAGGGAGATAAAGCAGGGTATAAATAAATATTATAATAATAATATTTTATAAAAGATATATATTAAAATGCATTCCTACAAAATACATACTAAAATACACAATACGGACTATTGTCCCCCTCATCAAATAAAGGTACTGTTTTTTTGCTATAACAGTCCAACCCACATAAAACCATCCCCATTGGGAAGGCTTCGGGTCCCACGTGGAAACCAGTGCTTACTCCTCGAAGTTTCCCTATCCATCCCATGGAGGAGGAGGCAGCAGAGAGGGGAGGCGAGAGCACTTGTCCTGATGTAATCTTTAGTGTTTAATTAATTTTTCATTCTATTAACATTCCACATAATAGGATACAGCAGTCCCCAAGGCACTCTTCCTAATGTACTTTTGCAAACGATCTTGCCAGTTAATGGAACTATAAAAATTACTTGCATCAAAAGGTCAGGCAAAAGTAAAGAGGAGCCTCCCTCTCAGCGTTTCCCCCATTCCGTACACAACCCAAACGCCCTCGATGGGAGGAAGGCGCTCTCCAAGCAAAGGTAGCCTAGCCTCCCTGGAGTCCCACCCCCGCAATGGGTGCCTCCTCTGGTTCCCACTCCCCTCTTTCCCCTCGCCCTGCAATGTCTCCCACATCTTGATTAGTTTATTATTAGCATTCTTGGCATCGGGATGAAGTTGGATCCAGCCTGGTCATAAAATGACCCACATCAACATTCACTTAGAAATGCCATCTTGGTAGCAGATGCATTTAGCGTGAGATATCGGGGCCTCTTCAAGGTCAAGTGGCAACAGTTCTTCAGCAGCAAGAAAAGGGAGCCTTTGAACAATCAACGGAGAAGAGGCGAGAAACAGATTGACCTCACACTTGCCATTAACTTATTCTCATTTATAACAAATGCCACCAGGTCACCCACAGTTGATATTATCATGTTGCTGCAAGACAGGCCTAAGGAGGCAAAATTTCAACTACACTTATTGCTTCGCAGCCCATTATGGCATTATTGTCTGTGACTAGTCAAGTCAACTTTATTTATACCCATCCCATCCCCACTTGGGCAGTAGCAATACATATTGATACATCAGCACCTCTCCAAAAAATGTGGATAACATTATGTAACATGGTTTTCGTTTCTGGGTTATACATGTCTTTTCTAGAGATGTACAATTCGGTTAGACCCTGTGCTGTTTTTGGTGACCAGATTTCAGTGTCCCATCCCCTCCACCCTCTGATCCATTTTTCAGGAGCCTCCCGAATTAGGGTGAGCAGAATTCCATTAGTTTTTGCTCCAGAAAGATCCAACCCACTGGCAGCAATGGGGGAACTTACTAGGCTCCACTTTCCATATTTTTTAGGGCATCAGTCTTAAAAAACCACATATTCTGGGGCTGTTTCTTCTAATATTCTTCAACTAGACCTGGGTTAATGAATCAGGCTTAAGAAGCCACCCTTTCTGGGATTGTTTTCCTGATTAAAGAACTGGGCATGTTTTGCCGGAAGAAGAGAAGGCTGAGAGAAGACATGATAGCCATGTATAAGTAAGTAAGAGAAAGTCATAGGGAGGAGGGAGCAAGCTTGTTTTCTGCTTGCCCTGGAGACTAGGACGCAATGGAGCAATGACTTCAAACTACAAGAAAGGAGATTCCATTTGAACATTAGGAAGAACTTCTTGACTGTGAGAGCTGTTCAGCAGTGGAACTGCCCCAGAGTGTGGTGGAAGCTCCTTCTTTGGAAGCTTTTAAACAGATTCTGGATGGCCATCTGTCGGGGGTGCTTCAAATGCAATTTTCCTGCTTCTTGGCAGGAGGTTGGATGGCCCATGAGGTCTCTTCCAACTCTATGATTCTATGATTCTATATTGTTCAACTAGACCTAGGTTAAGGCATCAGGCTTAAGACACCACCTTTTCTGATGTCCTTTCTCCTAATGTCTTTCATCTAGTCCTGAGTAAAGGCACCAGACTTAAGAAACCACCTTTTCTGGTGTCCTTTCCAATAATATTCTTCAACTAGACCTGGATTAAGGCATCAGACAAGAAACCTCTGTTGCTGGGATCCTTCTCCTAATATCCTTCAACTAGACCTGTGGAAGAATTGAATTCTCCCTTTAGGGACTCAAGGGAGTCAGGCTATCCCCTTCTTTCAGTAAATCACCCTAATATTTATACCCCCCCCCCTCCCAATGTCCTTTCATGCCTCCTTAATTCATGCCCACCCTCACTTCTCTAGTGAAATAGTAAAAGGAGGAGGAGGAGGAATGAAGGATATCTAACCAAGAAAAATAAATAAAATTGCCAAAGGAAAAGACTGGAATTGGGTCCAAAAGCAAGCAAAGTGATCCTAAGGACAGCTAAGGCACTGAGACAGAACATGGAGCTAGCACATGCGCGATATTCTTCTGATTGGCTCAGGCAGGCAGCAGGGCTCACAGCGTCACAGGGAAATACGTGTCTGCATGTAGCTGCCTCTCTGCTCTCCATGTGTAGCCAAAAGAGATGGAAAGAAAACACTTGTTTTTAGCAGACACGTAGTCTGTTCTGGCCAGGGAAAAAATGGTGGCGGTGCCATTATGACCAGCCAAAACAGCTGAAGCCCGTTTTGAAACATGGATCCATGCACAGCTCTAGTTATTTCCTAGCTGGTTCTATCATAAAAACATGGACAAAGTTTACGAAACTGCAAAAGCTTCCGTTTTTGCGGGAAGGACATCCTGCAGCACATTTTGCTATCGACAATACATTTTGCTATCGTTTTTTTCCATATCTCACCTACAACTTCATCACACTAGAGCATGGATCCACTTTAAATCCAGTTTCTGCCTTCTGCAGAATTCTGGGGTTTGTAGTTGAGTGAAGCCCAGGACATCTCTGCCCAAGCAGTTTAAAGGCTCTTCCCTAAAATACAAGCCCCAGAATTCTGCAGCAGGAAGAAGCCAGATTTAAAGTGGATCCATGCTCTAGTGAAGTGGTTCCCAGCCTGTGGTGTCTGCAAGAATGAAAATATTGTCCATGGCCATACACCCCTGCAATGAGAGTGACTAGCCTTGCAAAACTCTCTTACAGTGCTGAGGCTTATTAAATCGTGACAACTGCATGACATATGTTCTGTATCAGAAACTAGAGCTGGTGTGGTCTATCCAATGCAATTTTCTGACTCAGCACCCTAAATACCCAATCGAATCTAAAGTTGACCAAAAACAGATTCGTAACCCTTTTGGTACTAATGTTGGAGAGTGATCCCTGGTCAAAATGGACTCTGGTCAAGTGGTCCCTAGTCAAAAAAAGGTTGGGAACCACTGCTCTAGTATGATGAGGTCCTGAGTTTCAACCAAGTTTGTGGCAGAACAACTACTTTCAACGTAAGTGCCCCACAATCAAAC